AGTTTTCCACTACAGCTTCCTACCAAAATTTGCTCAGGTAGGTTCTCTCCATTTCCTGGAAATCAATGAAGGAAACTATTGGGGTGGAAGAGACAGACAAGTTGAACAAGTCCTCATTCTATTTAGCATCAATTGTTAACTTAAATATTCTATTTACAATACCAATGTTTCCCCTATTTGAGAGTCAGCATGCACCATTAACCTGGGCGTGATGGCCCAGACCTGTAAAATCCCAGCAACGAGGCAGGAGGATCCCAAGTTTGAGGCCTGCCTGGGCAACCTAAAGAGATCCTGTCTTAAAATTTAAAAAATAACAATTGTAAAGCACCCCTGGGTTCAATCCCCAATATCCCCCTTTACCCCCACCTTGCAAAATATATATATATATATATATATATATATATATATATATATATATAACATTAATTGACTTACCAGCCCCTTCAAGTTTTGGAATGACTCAGGACTTGGTAATTTAATGATCACTTACAGTCCTTTCTGCAGATATGCCCCCATTCTATCAGGAAGGAATTCGTATTGCAGATTCCTGTCACTAGATCCTTTGTGCAACAGCAAGATAGAGGTGCCTGGAAAACTACTGTGGTATTGAACCTCCATTCTATAATGACTTTCACCAATTTCACTGCCTCTACTGCATGAGGTATCCCAAGGAACTAGATCCTGCTCCTACAGGCACTGCTATGCAGGATTTCTGGAAATACAATAATAAACTTGAGCCAGGCTCTATGGCAAACCATTGTAAACCCAGCAACTGGGGAGGTTGAGGCAGGAGGATCACAAGTTTGAGGGCAGCCTGGGCAACTTAGAGAAACTAGTCTCAAAGAAGCTAAAAAGGGATGGGGAAACCAGGATTGGTGGCACATGCCTGAAATCCCAGCAGCTTGGGAGACTAAGACGGGAGGATTTCGAGTTCACAGCCAGCCTCAGCAACTTGGAGGGAACTAAGCAACCCAGTGAGACCCTGTCTCTAAATAAAATACAAAACAGGGCTGGGGATGTGGCTCAGTGGTAAGTGCCCCTGGGTTTAACCTCCAATACCAAAAGAAAAAAGGTAGAAAAAAAGAGAGAGACTTGAGGTATATTTTTCTTCCCTTGCTGGTACTGGGAATCAAAACCAGAGTCTTCATACACTAGACAAACGCTTTATCACTGAGTTACATCCCCAGCCCAGCCAGACTTGAAAATTTTATTTTCCCCTCTATTTCTTTGTATTCCTTCATCCTTCTCAGTAAGTAATAATGATAAATTTCTCCTCTGGTGCAGCTCTTTTCCCCTACAGAATTAGCATATAGAATAGGACTTAGAATCAAGAATCCTAACCCCTAAAAGTGTTGGAAAGACAATTGTAGTGTAATATCTGGGTCTGATTCTAAGGATGCCCCCTCCAGAGAATCTGCCTTCCTCTCTCTTTTTGAAATACTAAATAATGACCTTATTCAGAAGAAAAAAACTTGGACCAAAAATAAATTTTCTTGGTAGGGTACTTTGATTTCTCCCACAGTAACTGCAAAGGAAGAGCAGGGTTCTGACTCTGCACTTGATGGCCTAATTTTTCCAGCTGGCTTTAAAGAAATCTCATCCCAAGGTGGAAGTGAGATTTCCTTATCTGGACACTGATCAGCAGGGGGCACTATTGCACCTCTCTGGGTCCCAGTGAAGAAGCTGAAGCCCTTGTCCTAGACAACCCAAAGGGGTGTTGAGAGCACCACTGCATTCCTGAGGCTGGTGGACTTGAACAGATAATCTCCTCTTGATCCAGGGAAACAGATGGGCTGACTCCTGATAGCCTTTAAGAACATGATGGATAGGCAGCAAGGGGCCCAGTGCTATTGTTTTCCTGGTGACAAACAATATAATATATCAACAAGTTTATATGTCCAGGTCTGTTCCTTCTCCCCCCATCTCTCCCAATGCCTATTCCTAAACAAGGGTGTTATGACTCTTGTGTCCTAACCATTGTACTCCTCTTACCTGTTTCTCCCTAAACATCTTCTGATTTCATCTCAGATTAAGAGGGCCTTAGGCATGGTTGCACAACAGTGTAAATGTATATGTAGTGTCGCTGTGTACTTAAAAGATGGTTAAAGTGGCAAATTTTATGTATTTATATTTTGGCACAATTTTTAAAACAATATTAGACAATCTTGGAGAAGTACAAAAAATAAAGTTTGGATTGACCTTTGCCACATCCTTGCCTTTCTTTGTTCAAGCAGTCCTAGCAAATCCTAGACTTTCACAAAGGCTTCTCAGATAACCAGTTCTGTCTGTGTAAACATGCAGCTATTCACTTCTTCATCCCTCTCCTCCCTGTCCACCTACAACAAGGTAATATGTTCTGTTTACTTATTTATTAATCAGAAGAACAGAGCTTCCTTTGTATTGGACAAAGCACCCTTCCCACAAAGATGTATATATATATATATATTATGCTGCAGATGATGCTGACCCTTGTACTCTCTCTCTCTCTCTCTCTCTCTCTCTCTTTTTTTTTTTTTTTTTTTTTGGTACCAGGGATTGAACTCAGGGGCACTCAACCACTGAGTCACATCCCCAGTCCTAATTTTTTTTTCTTTTGATTTTTTTTAGAGATAGGGTCTCACTGAGTTGTGTAGCGCCTCAAAGTTGCTGAGGCTGGCTTTGAACTTGCGTTCCTCCTGTCTCAGCCTCCTGAGCTGCTGAGATTACAGGCATGTGCCACCATGCCTGGCTCTTGCTCTCTTTTTAAACCTTGCTACTCTTCCTTATTTGGTACTTTTCCATTTCCTATAAACAATAACTTGCTTTCCTTTTTTTTTTTTTTGGTATCAGGGATTGAACCCGGGGTGCTCAACCACTGAGCCACATCCCTAGCTGTTTTTATTTTGAGACACTAAGTTGCTTAGAGCCTCCCTAAGTTGCTGAGACTAGTTTTGAACTTGTGATTCTCCTGCCTCAGCCTTCTGAGTTGCTGGGTTTACAGGTGTACACCACCATGCCCGGTTGTATAAAACATTTTAAGACAAACTGGGTATGCCAATGCACACCTGTAATCCCAGCTACTCTGGAGACTGAGGCAAGAGGATCTCAAGTTTGAGGCCAGCCTTGGCCACTTAGCAAGACACTATCTCAAAAAGAAAAAAAAAAACTTAAAGGATTGGGGATGTAGCTCAGTGGTAAATCACCCCTGTGTTCAATCACAAGTATCAAAATAAATAAATAAAATAAATAAACAATTCAACAGACAGAATTCAGCCCCAAGAAATTCCTTTATCTTCCCGGTAATATTGATTTATTATCTATAGCCTCTGTCACTTTCCCTCTTCCAAGATCTGATATTAGACTTCTTGCTTCTGGAACACACCTCCTTGAGCCTGCAAATGTTTTAGCTTAAGGACCTCCCTGGGGCGTTGTTTTCTAGCATCTCACAAAACTATGCTAACCTGACATTGTGCTAGTTTGTGAAAACGTCTATCCTCCTGTCCATATACTGGAACCAGAGAGATTCATCCATCCATACCTGGGACCTAGGCTTGGCAACGCCAACAAGCTGTCTATCACTCACCCTGGGGGTAACCTGTGGGGTTTTGTTTGTTTGCTTGTTTGTTTGCAGTTTTCCAAGAAGAGAGAATTCTCTTTTGCAAAGAGCTGGGCATGGTGGCACACCTATAATCCCAGCAACTTCAGAGACTGAGGCCAGGTATAGCGATTTAATGAGATCAAAATAAATAAAAGGGCTGGGAATGTAGCTCAGTAGTAGAGTGCCCCTGTACCACTAGGTTCAATCCCCAGTACTACAGGTGGTAGGGAGACAATTCCTGTGGGCTGGGTTTATAGCCCAGTGGAAGGTTTTGGGTTCAATCCCCAGTACCCCAAAAAAGTATTTCTATGGTATTTTTCTTCCAAAAAATTTCCTATCTGGTCTATTATCTTTGCAGCAAACTTCAAAATTGAAAATGAAAGAAAATAGGTGGTTACAGGATAATAGGAAGTGGTTAAAAAAAAGGTAATTTACTTCCTTTTCAAATGTGAACAATCAGCCCTACAGAAACAATAATTTACTCAAGAACATAGAGTAAGGTCTGGTGGTGATAACTTTACCTCCTAAGATTCCTTAGTTTCTATTAAAGTCCACTCTAGGGACCTCTGAGTTGCCCTATGAGCAGTACTTCCTATGGTATCTGACGCATAAGGGCAGGTGTCCACATTGGCCAAGATGAATAGACCCATATAGGGCCAGGGTCAATGTGACCTCCATTTCCCATTGTGAAATCCAAGCCGGCTTTGTTGGGCAGTTGAGATATGAGAGTTTCTCTATTAATACACACATCTACATGCCTAGCCTTGTACACAAAAGCTAAGAATGTGGCATGGGGTAGGAGGTAGGATACATGATAGCAGTCTGGACTGGGAGTCCAATCCCTTTGTCCAGGTCCTGGAAAAGATAATTAAATTCCCCAGCTGGGGGTAGGTAAAATAAAAATGAGACATCTACATGAATGTCTGTCTCCTCTCTCCTCTCTCTCTCTCTCTCTCTCTCTCTTTCTTTTCTTGTACAGGGGATTGAACCCAGGGTATTTAACCACTGAGCCACATCCTTAACACTTTTTATATTTTATTGCAAGACAGGGTCTTGGTAAGTTGCCCAGACTGGTCTTGAACTTGCAATCCTCTTGCTTTAGCTTCCCAAGTTGCTGGGATTACAGGCATGCACCGCTGCACTGGGCCTTTCTTTCTTTTTCTTTCAACCCATTTTCTCATATGTGCTGGGCAAGTACTCTACCACTGAGCTACATCCCCAACCCCAACATGTCTTTGAGAAAGAAAATATATGCCATTATGAGGATATACTAGCATGTGATTAAATGCAAAAATGTGTATGGGTATATATGTCTATGTTTCATGAGCCCACAAGTATGTATACATCAGAGTGTGTTGGAATATATTAATATGAAGATGTCTGTGTGTAGATGAAACACATCCTCCATCTCTCTCATACTCACATCAGCTGCCTTCTTCTCTGCTAGCTCCAGCTTCTCCTGGGCATCCTTTAAGGCTTCAGAATACTTGTCCAGCTCATCCTCTGTCCCTTTCAGCTTCTTCTGCATAGCTGCTAATTCATCCTCCAGCTACAGGAGTCCAGAGAGTCACACACAAAGAGGGTAGGATTGAGATCTGGATCATGCATGATCATGCAGACTCGGACTCTGATAGACTCTGAGTCCAGCCTCCACGTTACCCTCCCCAGAGACAGACACATTTTCTCTCCAACCACTTTCATCCCACTGCTCCAGGAGTAATGTTGTGGCTTGCTCTGGGACCCTAAAGTCTCTGATCCTAAGATCAACAAACCGTCCTGGGTTTTCATCCAAGACCCTTAGATGGTAAATATCCAAGAGCGTCGAAAGATACCTGTGACACTATTTAAGAGAAAAGAGGTGGTTCATGTTAAACTCTTACCTTTTCCTCTAGAAGTCAGAGGTTCTTCCAAAATGTGGTCCACTAATCCAGCAGTCACACTGTGGCACCAAAGAGGCCACTGACTTTGCCACAGTTACACAGGCATTCGAGGACCCTAGAGGTCCTCTACTGTCCATTGAGGCTGGGGAGTCCCTCCCGCCAAAGAAGGAGCTGGCACCAGTGGTCACTGCCTTTCCCATGAACCCCCTTCCCTGTCCCCCTCCGGTTCCCCAGCAGGTGAGATGGCCAGGTGCCGCGCTTACCTGCTTACTCCTTTCCTCGGCCTGCTTCTGCTCCGCTTCAGCCTGCTCTGCCCGGTCCAGAGCATTCTCCTTGTCCAACTTCAGCATCTGCATTTTTTTCTTGATGGCCTCCATCATGAGCAGTGGCTGTTGGTGGGATTACCTGTGAACAATGGAGAACTAGAGACTAGGACAAGAAAGGAGGAGATGCTGTCTGAGCAACGAGGGGTCCCCAGACTTGAGCCTTTATCTCTGCTTAGGGCTCCACCTCTTATTCCCAATATGGTCTTTCCAACTCCCTCCACCCCCATCAGTATTCTCCCGGGGGAACACAGGGTGAGACACTTTGATGGACTGACATCACCACCACCAACCACCACCAAAAAAAAAAAAAAAAAAAAAGCAAGGGGGAACAGCTGAGGCTGATTTTAGACAATGGAAAGTGGGGGAGGGGAAAGGCTCTCCCTGACCCTGAAACTTTCCACTCTTTCTGGGTGATTTAAAAGTGCAGGGCAGGGGAGGGGAGAACATAGAGAAGAACACTTTGGCAATTCTAGAATGGCAGTATTCATCCTGAGGGGCCTAGTTACCCTTCAGTTCCCTCCATGCTCTCCCCTAGACTCTGTTGGATGCAGATCCAACTCTACTGGTTGAGTTTCATCTTTTGATTCCTGGTATTCAGGGAACTTGGACAACAGTGAAGAGGGGAGGTCACTCATGATCCTTGACAATTCCCCCAGATCTCCAGATCAAATTGCTGTGCTATTTTGGGAGTCTCTAATTGGCAGGAGACATCATTCCTCTCCCTTAGAGGCATAGGAATAGAGTAAGAGGGTAGGATTGAGATCTGGAAGGCCACCCCAGAGCTTCGAGTGAGGTGGAGAGAGAAATAGGGAGGGTCAGAGTAATCCAGACAAGATAATGCATCTGTTTTTTCCGAAAAAGTAACCTTTTTTTTAGTTGCAGTTGTACATTTATTTATTTATTTTTATGTGGTGCTGAGGATCGAACCCAGCGCCTCGCACGTGCTAGACGAGCGCTTTACCACTGAGCCATAACCCCAGCCCCCACCCCCAAGTGATCTTAACTTTTGCGTCCATACATAGCAGGGTCTCTGTTGCTCTTTGCTCTTCACGTTCTCTCTTCAACACCCAACCCATTGCCTACCACACCTTTATAATCATCACCAACCCCCTGGTGGGTTTCCAAGTCATGTTCATTTTCCACTTGGAGCCTTGTTATTGGCAGGTGGCAATTGATACCCATATACTGGCATCATACACCCAAGAATATGCCAGAGGAGAGGTGGGCACTGTTCAAGGTGACCAGAGCTCTCAGGGAAGAATAAATGGCTTGAATTAGTCATAATGTCAAAGATAGTTAGTATTAATGCTAAACCTCAGCCATGTGGGAACTGAAACACCAATCTGGACAGCGGGCAGAGCAGAGCTGGAGTTCACTCATGAAAGCTTCCAGGCACAGAACAGTAGTAGTAGACTACTACTGGTAGACCAGCAGCTAGACCATCAGCTGACCTGAAGGAAAGCAGAGAAACCAAAGACCCCTACTGTGGAGAGGAGCCAGGGAAAAGAATTAGGGAACCAGAGTCCCAGGGAGAGGAAGCAGAGGATGGCGGGGAGGGGGCAAAAGAAGAAAAATACAAGGACAAAAAAGAAAGATGATCCCTACTAGTGAAAGGGGGGCAAGATATATAGAGAGATTTGATTCCCAATTCCAGCTCTCTTCCACTCCCACACCAGTCCTTCAGGTTAAGATTGAAATCCACCTGGGTTGCATCTACTGCTCTTTGGGGAGGGGGGTAGTCCTGGAGAGAAGAGGCTCAGTAAAAAAGACAGAGGAGTCCCAGAGCCCTAGAGGTCGAGATAGAAGTGTGAGTGATGCTGAATTGCCTGCTGCTATAAGAATATGTTTGACATTTAGTTGGTTTCTAATTAAACAACCCAATATCAAACATATCACACAGAAGCAGGTAGGAAGGCATGGTGGTGCATGCCTTAAATCCCATCTACTTGGAGGGCTGAAGTAGGAGGATCACAAGTTCAAGGCCAATCTTAGCAACTTGGTGAGACTCTGTCTCAAAATAAAAATAAAAAGAGGGCTGAGGATGTAACTCAGTGTGCACAAGGCCCCAGGTTCAATCCCCAGCACCACAAACAAACAAACAAAAATGATAAATAAATATAAAGGGCTGGGGATGTAGCTCAGTATTAAAGTGCCCCTGATTTCAATCCTTAGTACCAAAAAACAAAACAAGAAAACCTCTAAACAAACAAACAAAAAAACAAAACCCGAAAACAAGCAGGAGAGCTTTGGTGATCACCAGCCTTTCTCCTCACTTCAAAGAAAGGTCAGGGCAGAGACTACTGGATCCAATCACATCTAGATGGCGAGCTATCTTCTGGAAGGGCACTGACCCCTGCTTTGCACCTCCCAGAACAGCCAGCCCTTGCTCATGTGCCCTTCGTGCCCTCCCGGCCACAGCCCGGCTCCCACCAGTGCCTGGCCTTTTCTGGATCACGCTGGCCTAAAGCAGGAAGAATACCCGGCAGGACTCCACATCCGGGCACCTATCTCATTCCCCAAAGCTCCCACACGAAGCTTGTCTCCCCTCTATGTCACGGCCCCAGCCTAGACGATCAGCAATGTCAGCAGCTTCTCATCAGCTTTTTGCCACCTGCTGTCTTGGATGCCATTCCAGCTGGCTGGAGGCTTTCTGGGGGTGGGGTGGGAGGGCTTGTATGTCCTGCTTTACCTTTTCAACAGAACTCCTAACCTTTCCAGATCTCACCCACGAAGGAAGTTGCCGAGGTCCTCTCAGTAGGCACCATCTTGGTACCTCCTGCTACAGATGAGAAAATATTATAGTCAGAAAACTCCAACGTGCTGGGCTTCTTCTTTCCTCCATTTTGTCCCTTCTCACCTTTTCCCCCATGACCTCCAGGCATACTCCTTAAAGTCACCCTTGGATGTCCAGAACAGAAGAGTGAGCTGTCTCACCAGCAAGCTCCAGTGGGGATCCAGGAGGGATGGCCTAGATCTCTCCTGCCTGGCAGAATTGAAAGGAAAGCTTTAACTCAAGATTGAGAGAGGGAGCCCAGTGGCCTTCTCTTCTGGGGCTTTTTACCACAAGAACTCCTGAGCTGGCTTCTCCAAGGGTCTTCCCTCCCAGGGTCCGGGCTTCTTCCCTTCTTTCTCTCTTGAAGAGAGTCAGATCTGTTGTATGTCATGTGGTAAGCAGACGCTTTCTCTACTGTGGCCGAAAGGAGCCTGAGTTATAGCTACACTGCGGGGTGGGGAGGTTGGGTGGAAGTGGGGCGGGTGGGAGAAAGGCTCTCTGCTTTAGCCCCCAGGCCTGTTCCATGTGTCCTTGTTCCCATTGCCATTAGTCCCTACACTCCCCTGGCCACACACCAATTCCACAATGACCTTGATCTTGATCGATAGCTTGTCCCAAGCCCCAGTCAATTCCTGTTGTGCAGCTCTTGCCTTCCAGGGAGAGACTAACGATGAGCACACAGGCCCCAGTGGAGGCCCTGTGGGTGGTCTTACATCTTTGTTCATTTGTGACTCCCAAAGTGTAAGTGTGATTTTCATTTTTCTTGCCCTTCCTCCTTATCCTTAACCCCCTAAGTTCTAGCCCCTTCTCTGAGGAACTTGTTCTCACTGGGAAACCAAAGGCTGAAGGGAGGGAGGCTGGAAAAGAAACTAGCAAGACTTGGAAGGACTTTGGTGTTTGGGGAACTGGGGGAACAGAAGCAGACTGGGAATATTGGCTCTCTTAGAAGGAGACTTTGGATGTCAAAACTAGGCAAAAATGTCACATGGCCTCTGATAAAATTCCTCGGGTTCTCCTGGAAGTGCTTCCTATGTGGTTACTTCAAACAGGACTGAGCCCTTCTGGGCCGCAGGATCTGGCCAAGGCATCAACTATAGCGGAAAGAGAGGCTGGATGGGTACCTCCTGTGATGTGATGAGAGCCGACAGGATAGGCTGAGAGGATCGGGGAAGACAGGCTCTGTGGGGGGCCGATCTGCCAATACTGGAGCCAGCCTGGCACTGACAAGCCCTGCGGTAAGAGGCCAAGGTCAGGGATCATGTCAGAGGGGATGGGACGTTCTGTGGGTCCAATCAAACAGAAAAAGAAGCACAGAAAAATAGAAGAGGTGGTGAGGAAGTTGCGTTGAAGTAGGAAAATCTAGGTCATAGAGCAGAAGCAAGAAGGGGGAAAGTCTCATTAGAGGCGGAAAACCTCAGGACGGGTTACCATTTGTTGGACATTGTGTGTGAATCTCTGCCAAGTGCTTCATTTCATCCCCACAGCAACCCAATGAAGTAGACATTATCTCCATCTTACACATAAGGAACCGTAACCCAGAAAATCAAAGTGACTTGCATGGGGTCCCACAGCTGGTGACAGAACAAGGATTGGAACCCAGACCCATTCAGTATTACAGCCTGTTCTCTTCATTACAAGTCGCATAATTTGGTGAATAAGAAGCTAAAGGTGTCCTGGGAACTGGGCATGGTGGCACATGCCTATAATCCCAGCAACTCGAGAGGCTGAGGCAGGAGGATGGAGGCCAGCCTCAGTAACTTAACAAGGCACCAGGCAACTTAGCAAGACCCTGTCTTAAAATAAGAATAAACATAAAAAGGGATGGAGATGTGGCTCAGTGCTTAAGTGCCTGGTTCAATCCCCAGACCAAACAAACAAACAACAACAACAACACAAATGAACTGGGAGACAGATAAGAGGGAAGAGGGAAGATGAAAGAAGTAATAAAGGCAAGACAGCAGACCTTTGGGAAATCGAGGGCAGGAAACAGGAGACAGCTTCAGTTTTGTGGTCAACTGCAGGCCCCATGTGCATGGTTTTGACTCCTATTAAATACACCTTGTATTTGTCATTACTGTTCATGCCCCTCACCCCTCGGCACAGCCCGTGAGCTCCACGTTTTGTTTGGCAGAAGGACGCATGCATGAGTGGCTACCAACTAAAGATAGAGGTTTAGGAAGCAGAGGTGATGGGGCTGGAGATGGAAGAATGAGGAGGGCAGAGAGAGGGATGAGCATGGGATGGAAAATGACTGTGAAGTGAAGAGGGGGCTGGCCAGAGGCCAACAAACAGGGACCTAGGTAATGGAGAAATCTGAGGGGAAACATGAGGGCACCTTCTGTGTGCCAAGCACTAGTGGGCTTGCTCTCACTATTTGATTAATCCTCAATGTGTGCTGAGTAGCTGGGTGCGGTGGCGCATGCCTGTAATCCCAGCAGCTAGGGAGGCTGAAGACAGGAGGATAGCAAGTTCAAAGCCAGCCTCAGCAATTTAGTGAGGCCCTAAGCAACTCAGTGAGACCCTGACTCTAAGTAAAATACAAAATAGGGCTGAGGATGTGGCTCAGTGGTCGAGTGCCCCTGAGTTCAATCCCCGGTACCTCTTTCCCCAAAAAAAGAAATTGTGATGAGTATTTTTGTCCTACTTTTCGTGTGTGTGTGTGTGTGTGTGTGTGTGTTGCTCAGGGCCTCACACATGCTAAGCAAGTGTTCTACACTAAGCTACAACCCCAGCCTGTCCTATCCTCATTTTCAGAAGAGGAAATGAGACTCAGGTAAATTAAATAACTTACACATGATGATTCACAAATTAAAGAAGCAAAGCCGGAATGTGAAACCACACCTGCCTCCAAAACCTGTGTTCTTTCTCTCTTTTTTAGGGCAGCGGGATTGCACCCAGGGCACTGTACCACTGAGCAACATCCCAGACCTTTTTTTCATTTTGAGACAGGTTCTCCCTATGTTGCCCAGGCTGGCCTCAAATTCGGGTTTCTCCTACCTCAGCCTCCCAAGGCACTGGGATTCCAGGTGTGTGCCACTGTGCCTGTCTTGTGCTTTCCTCGTTACCCTGTTACCTCTCAGCACTTTTCAGGAATGTGAAGGGTCAGAAGGAAGAAGATCTAACATCTGGAAGATGAAAAATTGGGGATTCAGTAGGAGATTGAAGGATAGAGTCAAACTTGAGAGAAGAAATGAAGGTTGTGGGTTTTGTAGTGGAGACAGCCACATGGAGTTGAAGGGAGGAAAAGATCATGTGGCCAAGATGAGTGACCAGAGAGTTGCCACTGGCAAGGCAAGAGACTTGGGAAAAGTAATTTGAGTGACAATTACATCAGGGAACAATAGTGTGTGTCTCTTTGGCTTTGGAAGTCATTTGAATAGAAAGTAGAGCCTTAATAATAAGGTTCTCTGTGTCCTGTGGGTACATTCAGTACTTTTCAGTATTTAAAATGCCTTCTGGATGGACATACTCTTCCTGATCTCTCACAAATCTCCTTATCCTTTATTTTCTCACACCTTCTACATTATCTGCCTTTTACCTGGGGGCATTTGAGTCTGGAATCCTCTCATTCTTGCAGAGGTGGGTATTCAGGCTCATAGGAAAGAGGCTTCAAAGATTTCACAATAAAGCCAGGTGCAGGGGCGCATGCCTGTAATCCCAGAAGTTTGGGAGGCTAAGGCAGGAGGATTGTGAGCTCAAAGCCAGCCTCAGCAACTCATTGAGGCCCTAAGCAACGCAACAAGACCTTGTGTCTAATAAAATATATAAAAGGGCTTGGGATGTGGCTTGGTGGTTAAGGGCCCTGGTTCAACCTCAAAGAAAAAAAAAAAAAAAGGTTTCATAATAGTTAAATGACATAAAACCTCGAATACTGTATCCTAACACTCAAGCACCATAGTGCCTGTAGATTCATAGCCACATTCAAAGCTATTTGTCCCAGTATACAGAAAAGATCTGAGAGGAGGTGTGCAAAGTCCAGGAAATCAAAATTATGGTAGTTAAGAACAAATCAAAGCTGGGCAGAGCAGCATACACCCCAGCAATAATCCCAGCGATTTGGGAGGTTGAAGCAGGATAATTGCAAATTCGAGGCTAGCCTCAGCAATTTAGCAAGACCCTCAGCAACTTAGTGAGAACCTGCCTCAAAAGTAAAAAAAAAAAAAAAAAAAGCTGGGTGCAGTGGCACACACCTGTAATACCAGTGGCTCTGGAGGCTCAGTCAAGAGAATCACAAATTCAAAGCCACCCTCAGCAACTTAGTGGGGCCCTAAGCAACTTTGAGACCCTGTCTCAAAGTAAGAAATAAAAGAGGGCTGTAGCTCAGTAGTAAAGTGCCCCTGGGTTCAATTTCCAGTACCACAGAAATAGAAAAAAAATAATATTTGAGGCTGAGAGAATGAGCCCTGTTCAAAAAAGTATGAACCTTTAAGAGGTAGCTTTATTTGTTAAATCAAATCAGAATTTCAACTCCCATTATATACCCCCCACCACCTTACATCAACGCTGCAGATCCCACTCCGACCACAAGGCGTCACTCGTTTTCACCATTTTTCAGAATTTTTTTTAGTTGCAGATGGACACAACATCTTTATTTATTTATTGTTATGTGGTGCTGAGGATGGAACCCAGGGCTTTGCATGCGCCAGGTGAGCACTCTGCCGCTGAGCCACAACCCCAGCCCCCTTCATCATTTTTTAAAAAAATAGATTGTTTCCCAGATGGAAGCAGGGAATTGACAGGGAAGTTGATGAAGATGGGGAAATTGTCCCAGGCTCAGTCTGTTTGGGGAAGGAAGTTCAAGGTAGTAGAGGCTCAAGAAGGCTACGTTAGCAGGTATGGCAAGAAGGGAAGAGCAGTGTTTCGGAGGCTGTCAGAGTCTCTCCACATAAAAAGCTTTGCCCATCTGATTTAGTTCTTGCTGGTACTGCTGATGCTCCTTTTCAAACAGCTGGTGCAGGGCAGCTTGACGGACCTGGCAGGGAGGGCAGAAGAGTGTGGTGTTGGCTCTCTGTTTACCAACCTTCCTCATTCTCTCTTCCTGGTTGTTTTCCCATAACTCCTTTTCTTTTGGACCCGGACTTAGCTATAACTCAAAGCTAGACAGTGCTAGAGAGGCTGAACCAATTTTTTTCCTTCATGGGTGAAGCCCTATGTCCAGCAAATATTTGCTGAGAACATACCACAAATCAGGAATTCTGCTAGGCTCCCCAGGATACAAAGATGGTGACATGACAGCTATTGGGACATGAGGGAGAGAAAGACGTAACAAGAGTAGGTGCCGGGCATTAATGGAGGCAGTTTAGTGTCTCAGTAAGATGAGACAAACAAAGACTATAATGCACTTTGGAAAAACATTTTTTTTTTCCAGTACAGAGGGTTGAAACCTGGACCTCATATGTGCTAGGCAAGTGCTCTACCACTGAGTCACATCCTCAATCCTTTTTATTTTTATTTTGAGACAGGGTCTCACTAAGTTGCCCAGGCTGACTTGAACTTGCAATCCTCCTGTCTCACTCTCAAGAATTGTTCTGATTACAGGTATGCAACACCACCCAGGTCACTCTGGGACTTTGAAATGTGTTACCTGCAAGCTGGATGCAAAGAATCACTTATTGAAAAAGAACTTTGGCACTTGGAGTTAAACAGTTGATGTTCTGGTGTAATGAGCTGGGTGAGTAATGACAGAGACTAATATTTTGAAATCCCAGCTGGAAAAGGCACAGTTCTCCTAGAACTCACCATCAGTAGTTGTTTGTTGGCCAGTGCCAATTCCTTTACCATGGCATCTTGCATCCTTAGGATGGTGTATGGGTTTCTCCTCTGGCTCAATGTCATCTGCCATGCACAGTGAATATGTGAAGTTTGCCACCTGCCCAAGGTACAGAGGTGGTGGTTGAATGGGTTAGAATTAGGAAAGGAAGGGTTGGGGATGTAGCTCAGCTGGTAGAGTGCTTGCTTAGTATGCACAAGGCCCTGGGCTCAATACCCAGGACCACTACCACCAAAAAAAAAAAAAGTAGTGGAGATTAAAAACCCAATCAGTGAGGCTGCTTCATCACTTAGAACCCTTGTTCCATTGTCAAAAGATTGCATATGGGCACAGTGGCGCACACCTGTAATCCCAGTGGCCCGGGAGGCTGAGGGAAGAGGACTGCAAGTTCAAAGCCAGCCTCAGCAAAAGTGAGGCACTAGGGCTGGGGATGTGGCTCAAGCAGTATCACGCTTGCCTGGCATGCGTGCGGCCCGGGTTCGATCCTCAGCACCACATACAAACAAAGATGTTGTGTCCGCCGAAAACTAAAAAATAAATATTAAAAAAAAAAAAAGTGAGGCACTAAGCAACTCAGTGAGATCCTGTCTGTAAAAAAAAATACAAAATAGGGCTGGGATGTGGCTCAGTGGTCCTGTGCCCTGGTTTTAAACCCTGGTACCACTACCCCTCCCCCAAAAAGATTGCAAAAATCCTTAAAACTACAATTGATTTAGAACCTGGTACGTATTAAGTAATTATGTTATTTAATCATTACAATAACTTTGAGGCACAGGTATTAATTTTTACATGATATAGGCAAAGAAACTGAAAGTTGTGAGTTGCCCAAGGTCACTTAGTGGCAGACCTGGATCTCAGCTCATTGTCCCTAACTCTACTTTTTCTTTTTTCTTTCCATGGTACATGGGATTGAACACAGACCTCTTGAATGCCAGGGAAGCACTGTAATACTGAGTCACATTCCCACCTCTTTTTCATTTCATTTCAAGACACTAAGTCGCCCAGACTGGCCTCAAACCTTTGATCCTTCTGCCTCAGCCTCCTTTATCAGCTGGGATTACAGGCAAGCACAGGTCCTAGTTTTACTTTGAATAAAATTTTTCTTTAACAATTAAAAAAAGCTTAGCCCTGACCCAGTATTGCTCAACAAACTTAGAAGTTTCTTATGCATCCTTCCAGGAAATTTTTCTATCAGATACCAGCAGGTATATCTTCCTTTTCTTTTTTCTTTCTCCTCCTCCTTCTTTTTTTAAATATTTATTTTTTAGTTTTAGGTGGACACAATATCTTTTATTTTTATGTGGTGCTGAGGATTGAACCCAGTGTCTCGTGCATGCTAGGCGAGCGCCCTACCACTAAGCCCCAGCCCCAGCCCCTCTTCCTCCTTACTTACATTGCTGGGGAGCTAAACTAGGACCTCAGGCATTCAAGGCAAGCACTCTAGCACTCAGCTAGACATTATACATTTACAGACACAGAGCTACTTAACAATTTGGACTTCTCATATGAACACAGAGATTTGCTTCCTTCAGTTTAAAGGCTGTGTAGTTTTTTTTGTTGTTTGTTTCCAGCTTTATTTTTTATAAACAACTCTGTCATGAACATTCTTGTGTATGTACCTTCTCATTTTTTTTTTTTTTTTGGTACCAGAGATTGAACTCAGGGGCACTCAACCACTGAGCCACATCCCCAGCCCATTTTTGTATTTTTATTTAGAGACAGGGTCTCACTGATTTGCTTAGCACCTGTCATTGCTGAAGCTGGCTTTGACTCATGATCCTCCTATTTCAGCTTCCTGAGCTGCTAGAATTACAGGCCTGTGCCACTGTGCCTGGCTCTACTTTTTATTTTTAAACGGGGTCTAAATTGCTGAGGCTGGCCTCAAGCTTTGATTTTTCCTGCCTTAGCCTCCCCAGCTACTGGGATTACAAGGTGTGCACCACCTGAAATTTTTTTTTTTTTGGTACTGGGGATTGAACCCAGTGGCACTTAACCACTGAGCCACATCCCCAGCTCTTTTTTGTATTTTATTTTAGAGACAGAGTCTTTCTGAGTTGCTTAGGGCCTAAGTTGCTGAGGCTGTCTTTTGAACTCATGATCCTCCTGCTTCAACCTCCTGAGACACTGGGATTATAGGTGTGTGCCACTGCACCTGGCCAATATTCTTAAAAATAGGCTTCTTCTATCTTATCCCAGACATTTCAATCAAAATCTCCTGGGAGGAAGACCTGGATTCAGAGTTCTTTTTCCTCCTTCTCCCCTTCTTTGCGGTATTAAGGATCAACCCAAAGGCCTCACACATGCTGGGAAAGCACTCTATCACTGAGTTACATCACCAGCCCTTTTTATTTTTTGAGATAGGGTTTTGATAAATTGCCGAGGCTGGCCTAGAACTTGATACTCCTACCTCAGACTCCTGGTAGCTGACATTATAGGCAGGTGCCACCAGGCCTAGGCTTTTTCTTTTTTTTCTTCTTTAGGGGATAGGTTCTAGGGATTGAACTCAGGGGCACTTGACCACTGAGCCACATTCCCCAGCCCTATTTTGTATTTTATTTACAGACATGATTTCATTGAGTTGCTTAGCGCCTTGCTTTTGCTGAGGCTGGCTTTGAACTTGTGATCCTCCTGCTTCAGCTCCTGAGCTGTTTTCTTTTAATGAGCCCTCAACGAGACAGAGTTGCGGTGTGGCTTAGCGACAGGAGTGTAGAAAGGTCAAGCTGAAGGGTAAGGGTAAGAGAAGCAGAGATTACCTGTTGACCATCTTCTTAAATTCTAGGGCCCTTTGAAAGTTCTGCAAGAAAAGGGAAAGTCTGTTGATCTGCCTTTAATCTCCAGAACCTCACTAACGGCAAGTATCCTTTTCTTGTACAAGATTAATATTTTTGAGATAGGTAGTAGTCAATTTCCTAGGGGAGGTGGGAAGAAAGCTCTACACTTTTCAGAATAAAAAAAAACATGCAAGAGTTGATATTTGGCCCCCTATCTCCTCAGTATTGGGGTTTGAACCCAGAAGCACTGAGTTACATCCCTGGGCTTTTTTATTTTTTGATAAGTTACTGAGACTGGCCTTGAACTTGTGGTTCTCCTGCCTTGCCTCTTGAGTTACAGGTGTGTACTACTGCACCTGGCACATTGAATACCTATTAGATGCTAGGCATAGTCTCCCACTCCTGTTACTAACTATACCCTAGTCTTAAATCAAGCGCTTTCCCCAATAAATAGCCTACTTCTAAGAAAACTGATCTGCAAACCTCCTCAAGGGAAACTCCTTCAACCCAGTCCCTCCTTCCAATTCTGCATACCTCTTCTACTTTTGTTATCTTTTCCGCAGACATGTCTACAGACTTGCTTGCTTAAGTCTGAGGAGACTGAGCAGGCTCTCCTTTCTGTTTAGTTCAGTCACCAAGGTTGCAGTAGTCATAGCAACATTTAGGCCTCCAACAATGACCCTGGGCCTAGGAGTTGATTGGTCACCTGGCCTGTTGCCCTGGAGACCTGAAGGGACTCCTGGTTCTCCAGCCTTCTATTAGTGACACAGACAAATCTGTGAGCAAGGGCCACCATCCCTATTTCAGGATTTCTCTGTTGATGTCCCAAAGAGTATCCGACCAATTCTCTAGAGGCAAAACCTCATGCCCCATAGCCTGTTAGCAAAGTACAGAAAACATACTGTATGACCATTTTACCAAAAGACAACAATAAAGAAATGAGTCATATGTTCTGTTTTTTAATGGTTCATTTTATTAAATAACTAATCCATAAAACCATACCAGTACACTGCCTTATTAGGGGAAACCATTCCTCCATATCATCTTGTATCTCGGCATAGATTATTCCAGGTGTCAGAACATTCCCTTTTGTTCATTTATTTATAAAGAGGGTTGAATGAAGGTGGAAAGGCAGATCAGTGCACACGAGGAAAGTTGTGTTAATGTTTCAACACATCCTGATTTAAATGGAGTTTCAGGGTAAGTTGTTACACATACCACACACTTCCTCACCCCACCCCTGATCCTGCCCACCTCTTCCACTAAACAACTCCAAGACACCCTAAAACCAAGCAGTTCCCACTCAATTGAGAACAATGGGACAGACATGGAAGATACCTTACTTTTCACCTTTGGGATTAAATAGGTGGACTATGGCCAAAAACAAGTGAAGATTTTTAAGAAAACTTGTGACAGAAATAAGAATGACATCTGAATTCAAACACAGAAGAAAAAAAAAATTCTACTGAGGGGAAAATAAAATCTTATCTGATATTCTGAAAATGCCTGTAAGAAAAAGTTGGGGAATGACCTTTCAGACACAAGCTCTAAGAACCCTGGACACAGCAGGAGCTTTGGCTAAAACAGCCTGGGCCTGCTGAGCCAGATTTCCTGAGGGCTGCCCAGTAGACACCACAGATGTCTGGCTCAGTCTGCAGCGAGAGTCCTTCAGCTCCATCACAGAGTGCTCTCCAATGTGTTATAGTTATCCTTAAAGCTCTTCAATTCGAGGAAATGCTTGGCACGTTTACTCTTCTGACTGGAGGGAAGGTATGTCACCTGGATAGTAGTTGGGGAGACTTCAGGGGACTGAGTTAGGTCTTTGGCTGCTGACTGGTGCTGTCGCTGAGAGCTCCCAACTCGTGCTTTGACCCTAAAGAATACAAAGAGGGGAGGTTATGGACAGAATGAGGACTAGCAGAAGAATACAATTCAGGTCCTTTCCTTTCCCATAAATGTAGCCACAAATGGTCTCTGACCTATCTTATAAACTAGTTACTAAAAGCCTATCTGAGAGCTTAGAAATAAAGAAACCAGTAAGATGTGGTAGTTCACACCTGTAGTTACATTCAGGAGGCTAACGCAGGAGGATCACAAGTGGGGCCAACCTTGGCAACTTAGCAAGACTCTGTCTCAAAATAAAAAAAATTCAAAAAGGGCTGGGGATGTAGCATAGCAGTAGAGTACCCATGAGTTTAATCTTCAGTGTCATTAAAAAACAAAGAAGGTAAGAAGTAGCAAAGAAACCAATTTCCTACTGAGTTCTGGCTCAATTTTTTTTCTTCCTGACACCATGTTTAACTAAAAAAGAAAAAAAAAAGTTCGTTCTTTTTTTTTTTTTTGTAGTTGTAGATGGACAGCATGCCTTTATTTTACTTGTTTATTTTTATGTGGTGCTGAGGATCGAACCCAGTGCCTCACACATGCTAGGCAAGCTCTCTGCCTCTGGGCCTCAGCCCTAAAGAAAACTTTTAATTTTACTTATTTCACCTAATGTGTATATGTAGTGAACATATTCCTAATCTAAAGAAAGTCCCCTGAAAGCTAAATATCAAAAAATAAGAACAGAAGCAGCTATTGGGTACTTGACATGTTAGTATATTACACTTGGTGGTTTACATCTAATTTACTAACATCACCCTCTATATTTTTGTATTGCCTAGTTGTGCAGGTTAAGAAATGGAGGGTCCAATAATTAACCTGTATGAGGTCACAAAGCTATTAAATGACAGACTGGGTATTTGAACCTAAGGTTGTCAGACTGCAAAGCCTATATTCTTTTTACTATACCCACTGAAGCTTTCTAGAAGCCAAAATAAAAAATTTAAAAAAAACTGTAATAATATATGCATAAAACTTATCATTTAACCATTTGAAAACATATTTCAGTAGCTTCAAGTACATTCACAATATTGCATGACTAACCTCCAATTAACACTTTTCATCTTGCAAGTCTATGCTCATTAAACTAGTTTTCTTTTCCCCTTTCCCCAACGCCTGGCAACCACCATTCTACTTTCTGTCTCTGAATTTGACTTCCTAGGAATCCTATACAAGTGGAATTTGTATTTATCTTTCAGAAGATTTTAAAACAGATTTCCTGCCTAACTCCAAACATTTTTTTCCAGCTTGTTGCTGCCTTTTTTTTTGGTACTAGGGATTGAACCCAGGGGTGCTTAACCACTGAGCTACATTCCCAGCCCTTTTTATATTTTATTTAGAGTCAGGGTCTCACTAAGTTGCTTAGGGTATCACTACGTTGCTGAGGCTGGCTTTGAACTTGCAATCTTCCTGCCTCTGCCTCCAGCTGCTGGGATTACAGGCGTGCACCACCACACCTGGTGGTGATCATTTTCATTACTGCTCTAATCAAAAGTTTTCACTGCACCTTTCTTTGAGAACAAGGTAGTTCAGGCTAGGTGTGGTAGCACATGCTTCTAACCCCAGCTACTCAGAAGGCTGAGGCAGAAGGATCCCAAGTTTGAGGACCGCTGGGCAACTTGGTGAGAACCTTTCCCCAAATAAAAACAGGGGTATAGGTCAGTGGTAGAGCACCCCTGGGTTCAACTCCTAGTACCAAAAAGAAAACAAAAACAACCAAAAAATCCCAGCATAGCTCATTTTTAGAACGGAGAGAAGACAGAATAGACATACTCCTTATGTCTTGAGAAAGTCATGCCAAACACAACAGAAAACAGATGTATTCTTTTCATGGATGGTAACTAGTTTTTAATTCTAAATTGGCCTTCTTTTTTTTCACCAAACATATGCATAAACAACATAATGAAACTATGTTGAGTACATATTTAAAACATTCTCAAACAGAAGTCATGACTCCTCTTCCTTCTCTTAGGTAATATCTTCATATCTTAGGATATTACTATCAAGTGTAATATCCTGTTAACATCCTAACACGTTAATGAAAATCATGATTCCCAAACAGAAGTCATGACCCTCGCCAGGGGCAGTGGTGCGTGCCTGTAATCCCAGTGGCTTCAGAGGTAGAGGCAGGATTCCAAGTTCAAAGTCAGTCTTAGCCACTTAGCTAGGTCCTAAGTGAGATCCTGTCTCAAAATAAAACAAAAAAGGGCTGGGGATGTGATTCAGTGGTTAATCACCCCTGAAGTTCAATCCCAGGTACCAAAACATCAACAACAATAACAAAACGAATAAGTAAACAAACAAAAACCCCCAAACTGACTCTCTAGTGGTGACCTTTGTTTCAGATAAGGTTATAATGCTTTAAGTAGTAATAAAAATGGGTTGCATTTAATGCTTTATTAGGTTCTGCCAATTTTGACATTTAATTGGGCTGGAAAAAAAAAGAAAAAGATGCACATAAAGTAAAAAAATTCTCTTATTACTTATATGGTAGCATCTTCTTTCTAATTTGGCAAGAGGCAATTCTAATAGTCTTATGGTATCATGGATATTCATTCATACTGCTTTATGAAAGCTACTGCATAAATATTAGGAATAGTCCAGTACTTCTAATACTTCTGATATTCTCTAACCAGCTCCCTTTGACATGTTCCCCTCCAAACTCACACAGTGGCCAGCTCACTCAGGGCCTCTTGATAGCGCAGGTACTCACTCTGGCCAAACACCTTAGGAAAGAGAAAAGATGAGGATCTCTTAGTCTGGCATATCCCTTTAGATACTTGAAGGAAAAACTGGCCATTCAGCTCACCCCTGTCCCGTAGCGGGCTGTCTCGTAGCCATCCAGCAGGGTATCGATAAGGGCCTTCCGCACACCCTTGAAAGGAGTACTAGTGTTTCGAAGATCTAGCAAGTAGGAGCGGAAATTCTTGCCCATTAAGGAACAGGGGTGCCTGCCTTCAGCATGAAATGGGATCTCTGAGGAGATAAAGGGACAATATCTAGTTATTTTCCCAAGTTAGAAATAGGTCTAATGAAACAAGTGATATGAGCTGGATGTAAATCCCATCTTTAAAAAAAAAGAGATAGAATATTTAAAAAAAAAACAGACAAATCTGTCTCAAAATAAAAAATACAAAGGGCTGGGGATATAGCTCAGTGGTAAAGCACCTCTGGATTCAATCCTTAAAAAATTTACGTATATTAAAAAGTGTGTGTGTATATATATATGTAAATTTGACATATAAATGTGCATATATATATATACATACATATGTACATATATGTGTGTGTGGGTGTGTATATATATATTTTCGTTAGAGATAGAAGCATATATGAGAAGTGGTCAAAGAATAGGAAAAAATATTCAAGAATCATTCGCCTTGGGTTTACTGAAAAAACAGATGTCACTAGTCCTTTGTGGAAAAACAAATTATCATCTTCCAGTTCAGGAAACTAAAGGTCTCAAGAATCTTAAAAGACAAACAAAAAACCCTAGTCTTTTTGGAGAAGAACTAACCTGCCTACATAATTTCCTTATGTAAAAGATTAAGTGGTACTTTCCAAACTCCAGGAAATTCCCACTAGTCGAGATATACAAAAAGGACAAATCCTAACATATAAAATGGGTTCATTACTCTGTTCCCTAGATGGCTTTTTAGGCTCTAGAATGGAGTCTGATAGCTAGTGTCCTTACCAGAAGCACGGATAGCATCCAGAGCTTTCATCCTATACAGATAGTTGTAGCAACCTGTTGAAATAAAGAGTAGTCTCAGACATAATTCTCAAACTCCAGTAAACTAATAAACTGTCTTTCTGCATCTGACACATAGCCAACAACTAGAATAACTGAGGTTTTGTTAGCAGCTATTTACAACAAGTGTAAAGGAATTCTGAACTTGTGGGACTCCTCACTGAAGTGCTCTCCAAGAGCTTGCAACATACTTTGACTTCCCTGAGTTTCCAGTTGTAGCAGTCTTGCATCGTCATCTGCAAGGAGCTGAGGTTCATACTTGATATCCTGAACCCTGGATAGTCGAATATCAATCTCCTCTTTCAAGTCCTGAATGTGTAGATAAGAGAATACAGAATCACTTACCTTGTACTCTGATTCCCACTAATCTGGAAAAGGGTCAGAGCCTGTGAACAACTAAGATGAAGTAGTGGAAGTGCTCAGGTAGTTACTGAAATTGCCAGATAAGATGTAAGATTTTGGGAAAGAATGGGGTTCTCTAATAACCTCTCCAAACTGTACATATCTAAGCTAGATATTTTAATTTGCCAGAATTTCTTCACGCTCTACAGCATTATTCCAGATTTTACACTGGTCTAAGAATCTTGATAGGTATTATAAAGACCTTCCTAAATTGGGACAAAGTGGACAACTGGAAGTCATAATCTATTATAGAAATCCAAGGAGAAGACCTGCATATAATCTATAAACATCTAGGGACTGTCCAACCTGGTGGACCACAGGACTTCTAGAAATCCATGTTAAAACAAAAACATTTTTTAAAAAAATAAATGTTCATTTTTGCCACACAGGGGATTGAACCTGGCTCTACCACAAAGCTACACTCCCAGTCCTTTTTATTTTTGAGATAGGGTCTAAGTTGCTCAGGCTGGCTTTGTACTACTAATCCTCTCTCTCAGCTTCCCGAATAGCTGGTATTACAGGTGTGTGCCACTATACCCAGTTTAATTGCTAAAATTGGTAATTCATGCCAGGCACAGTGGCACACACCTGTAACCCCTGTTATTTGGGAGGCTCAGGCAGGAGGATTTCAAGATCAAGCCTGAGCAATTTAGTGAGACACTGCCTCAAAAACAAAATGAAAAGGGCCGGGAGTATAGCTTAGTGGTAGAGCACTATTCTAGTATGTGGGAGGCTCTGGGTTCGATTCCCAGTACTGGAGGAAAAAAATTGATAATTAACATCCATGCTACAAAAATTTAATACTATTATTGTGCTGCCCTTTCAAGATAGAAGCAAGCACTATCATCAGTTCCACATCCATCTCACTTAAGAGGGTTGCCAAACCCCTGAGGAAATAATTTTTTTTTTTTGGTGGTGCTGGGGGATTGAACCCAGGGCCTTGTGCATTTGAGGCAAGCACTCTACTGAATGAAATTTATCTGCAGTCCCCTTGTTTTCCTTTTGTAGTGGGAACTGGACTCAGAAGTGCATTATCATTGAGCCACATTCCCAACTCTTTTTTTTTTTTTGAGACATTGCCTTGCTAAATTGCTGAGGCTGGCCCCAAATTTGGAATCCATCCCTCTGCCTCAGCCTCCCAAATCACTGGGATTACAGGTATATGCCATGGTATAATTTTTATTGTAACCTCACCCCCCACCCTACTGGCTGGGATTGAACCCAGAAACTCATTCATATGCTAGGAAGTGCTCTACCACAAGCTACTTCCCTGGCCCTTTGTTGTTTAACTCTACCAGAAACTTCCATTGTGAACTATTTTCACAGACCACAGGTAACATACGCACATTTTAAGTAATTATAAAGACCAAGATGAACACCTATATCCAATATTCACTTTATGAAATGGCAATCAATGACTTTGAAGTCCTATATACTCATTCCTAATTGCCACCACCACAAACCTTCATTTGCCAGTAATCCTCTTACTCTTCATTGTTTTATCATGTGTTATCCTAAACAAGATGCTTAACTTTGTCTAGTTTTGAGCTTTATACAAATGGAAAAATACTTTTTGAATTCCTCAGCAAACTGTTTTCTTTTGCAGTGCCAGGGATTGAACCCAGGGCCTTGCAAATGTGAGGTAAGTGCTTTAACACTGAGCTATATCTCCAGCCCAACAAGTTAAAATGAACTTTACTGAGGTTGAATTTGTATAAAAAATAAAGAAAATTCACTTAAATGTATAAGACAAATGAATTTGGATAACTTATTGGTGGTGGTATGGGGAATTGAACCCAGAGGTGGTTTACCACTGAGCTCCATTTTTAAGTATTTTATTTTGAGACAGGGTCTTGCTAAATTGCAAGTCACTGGGATTATAGGCATGCCCCACCAGCCTGGCTTGGATGCATGAATTTTAACAATATACCCATTTACTGGCATCTCAATCAACATTTCCTTATCCCAAAATGTTCTCTAAAGTCACCCTCTCTTCCTTAGTTGGCTGCAGGCAACATGATGTGTTCTTTATAGTTCTTTATGTTCATTCTAGAATTTCATATAAATGGAATCATATGATACATATTCTCTTGTGAATGGCTTTTTTTTTTTTTTTTAAATCTTGTAATTGTAGATGGACAGAATGCCTTTAATTTTTTTTTAATGTGGTGCTGAGGATCAAACCCAGTGCCTCAGCATGCTAGGCAAGCGCTCTACCACTGAGCCCCAGCCCATGTATGGCTTTTGACTTGGCAGATTTTTTTGTGTGTATAGTACTGGGAATTGAACTCAAGGGTGCTCTACCACTGAATGTCACCCCCAGTCCTTTTTTGAGACAGTCTTGTGCCAAGTTGCCTAGGATGACTGTAAACTTGTGATCTTCCTACCTCAGCCTCTGAAGTACCTGGGATTATAGGTATACATCACTGTGCCAGGCTCTTGGCATGGTTTTTAGATTCACTATGTTTGCAACTTTTTTTTTCTTTAAAGGAGACGTTTATTATTTCAACTTTTTTCATTAAGAATATTCTGAAGATTCTTTGTGTTCACATATTTTAGTTTATTTTTAATTTTTAAATCATTCTAGAATATGAACTGGTATCACTAACTTTAACCTGGACTTCTGCTACCATGAACATTTTCATTCATGACTTCTATTACTATGAGCAAAAATTAATTTCCTTATGATATGGAACTGCTGGGCCATAGATTAGCTAGGTACATGTTCAATCTTAGTTGATAATGCCCAATTATTTTCTAAAGTGGTTTTAATAATTTATACTTCTACCAGCAATGGATGAGAATTTAGATAAATTTTGTAAAGCAAATGGAATCTCCCCCTACCCCCAATACTGGGGGTAGAACCCAGAGGTGCTTTACCACAGAGCTATAACTCCCCAATTCCTCCCCACTTTTTTTTTTTTGGTGGAGAGTGGATACCAGGGATTGAACTCAGAGGAACTTGACCACTAAGCCACACCCCCAGCCCTATTTTGTATTTTTAAAAAATTTTTTAGTTTTAGGTGAACACAATATCTTTATTTTTATGTGGTGTTGAGGATCGAACCCAGTGCCTCACGCATGCTAGGTGAGCACTGAGCCACAAACCCAGCCCCTACTCTGTTTTTTATTTAGAGACAAGGTCTTGGGCTGGGGATGTGGTTCAAGCGGTAGCGTGCTCACCTGGCATGTGTGCAGCCCGGGTTCGATCATCAGCACCACATACAAACAAAGATGTTGTGTCCGCCAAAAACCATAAAATAAATATTAAAAAAATTTTTTTTTTTTAAAAAAAAAAAAAAAAAAAAGGGGGCAAGGTCTCACTGAGTTGCTTAGGACCTTGCTAAGTTGCTGAGGCTAGCTTCGAACTCGAAATCCTCCCGTCTCAGCCTCCAGAGCTGCTGGGATTATAGGCATGTGCCACTGTGCCCAGCCCCACCTTTTTTGGAGACAGGATCTTGCAAAACTGCCCAAGTTGATCTCAAACTTGCAATCCTCCTCCTGCAGCCTCCATAGTTGCTGGAATTACAGGAATGTGCCACTGTGGCCAAATAAGCAATCTTGATTTCATATAGTCTCAGGGCTCCTAAACAGCCAAAGTTTTGATTGGCTAATGATATGTTAGATACCAACCCATGAAAGGCAAGTGGAAATTACACTGTTCAAAGTTTCAGGCAAGGACAGCTTTCTTGAGTCTTTCCAGGTAATATGTCAGAAAGAAACAAGGCTTGGGGCTGGGGATGTGGCTCAAGCAGTAGCGTGCTCTCCTGGCATGCGTGCGGCCCGGGTTCGACCCTCAGCACCACATACAAACAAAGATGTTGTGTTCGCCAAAAACTAAAAAATAAATATTAAAAAAATTATAAAGAAAAAAAAGAAACAAGGTTTGGCGCTGTGGTGCACACCTATAATTCCAGTGGCTTGGGAGGCTGAGGTAGGAGGATAGCAAGTTTAAAGCCAGCCTCAGCCACTTAGTGTGGCCCTAAGTAACTTAGAGACTCTGTCTCAAAATTAAAAAAAAAGGGGGGGGGGTGATGAGAATATGGCTCAGTGGTCAAGTGTCCCTTGGTTCAATACCCAGTAACAAAAAGAGAGGAACAAGTACAAGAGGATTAATAATACTGGCTAATCAAAGAACTGCTCTAGGAGTTGAGAGAACTGTGTACTAGCTTTGGCTCTCCCATTGACTTATTGTTCACTCAATAATGAATTACTGAGTACTTACTATGTGTTGGCCTTGGTTTTACGTTGGTGGGAAAAAAAAACGGCCCGGTGCCTGCACTTTTTTTTTTTTTGCAGGGCCACAAACTGAAGGCAGGGGCTTGCATATACTAGAACCACTGAGCTACACTCCAAACCCAAGTGCTTGCCCTCTTGAAGCTTAAGATCTCAGAAGAAAAAAAAAAAAAAAAATTTCTTATTTGGTATCAGGGATTGAATCCAGGGACTGAACAAATGAGCCATATCTCCAGACCTTTTTATTTTGAGACAGGGTCTTACTAAGTCGCTTAGGGCCTCGATCAATTGGTGAGGCTGGTTTTGAACTTAGAATCCTCTCGTCTCAGCCTCCCAAATTACTGGGATTACATGTGTGTGGCACCATGGGCCAGCTGAGAGGAATGTTTTGGACAAAGAGACTAACATAAAAGAAAAATTGTGGCAAACGCTATGAAGAAAATATCAGGGTAATAATGGAAAATTGAGACCTATTTTATTTCGTTTTTAAAATATTTTTTGTAGTTTCAGATGGACAGAATGCATTTATTTTATTTATTTTTATGTGGTGCTGAGGATCGAATCCAGTTGCCTCAAGCATGCTAGGCAAGCGCTCTGCCACTGAGCTATAGCCCAGCTCAAAGAGACCTATTTTAACATCCACAGTAAGCATTCTTCTTTCATGGAAGTAACATTTAAGCTAAGATCTAAAGAATGAATGATCTAGTCAAGTGAAGACCATTCCAGGTCACAGTAACAGTATGTGCAAAGGTGTGCGATCAACTAGTAGAACTAGATTTCAGAGACTGGGAGAGGTGCCAAACAAAAGGAAGTTGGTAAGGGCAGCAGGTACATTTAAGTGAAAGATTAAAGAAGCAGATAGGGTTGGCAGTGGGGTATCAAGAGTTATGATTTAGATATGCTGGGTTTGAGATATCTATTAGAAATCAAAGTGGATGCTGGGTGTGTGGTGCATGCCTATAATCCCAGTGGCTGGGGAGGCTGAGGCAGGATGGCATGTTCAAAGCCAGCTTCAGAAATTTAGTAAGACCCTAAGCAATTCAGTGAGATACTGTTTCAAAACAAAAAATAAAAAGAAGTGGGGATGTGGCTCAGCGGTAAGTGCCCCTGGGTTCAATCCCTGGTACTCCAAAACAAATAATGTTGAAATGTGAAGTAGGCAGTTGAGATACATAGAATGGGATGCTGGAAAAAGGCAAAATTTTATCTGTGGATACTTAAAGCCAAGGAAAGGAAGGCATTACCCAAGAAGAAAGCATAAACAAAGGTAATAAATCACTAGGTTATTCACTTTCTGTATGTTATCCCCTAAGTTGTTTCTTTTCCTTAGGCTTATCTGTAACACAAATGGTGGAACAAGATACTTAATGGGACTCTTAAATAAGCCTGAAGTTCTGCCAAGACAACCTTTCATTGTTCTACTGCTAATTGTAACCATTCTCAAATCCATCCTAAAAAAAAGCAAACAAAAAACATTGATTAAGATGAATGGGGAAACATTTTACAGCAGTCAGCAAAAACTAAAGTTCTTGATAAAGTTACATACTGTACCAGAGCAGTGGGCAGGTAAGCCAAATTCCAAGACTGTTACTGCTCAATTCACTAAGGTTAACTATAAAGGTAAATAGAGAAAGAAACGTGAATTTAAGTAATCTCTAAAAGGCACAGAAAATCTCGTTCTTGTTCCTATAACGCAATTGAAGAATGCTGGTTTTGTGCCCTAAGGACCTACCTTGGGGGCATTGTGTCCCACAGGGACATGGGGTCCCCTTCTAGATTTCATTGCAAAGCGCATGATTTGCCTCTTCACAAAAATAAACAGTAGTACAAATACCTGTCCAAAAAGATACGATAAGAATCTTTAATAAAGACAACAACAACAAAAGGCATGCCTTCATTCAAAGTCTCCAGATTGCGGCTCTCAGAAATGGAGGCTTCAAGATAAAACTTGGGGGAAAGCGAGAACGTCGACGATGGAGGTGGATCTAGGGAAGCCAATAGTGGGGAGGCTCGGGGTCTGTGCCCTAGAGCTTAGGGGGAGGGTTCTCAGCCAGGGGCGGGTCGGTCTGGGTCTGTGACTTAAGCTCCCAGGTACTCCTGGGATCGAAGTCAAAAGCCCAGAAAAGGCGCAGGTGAGTGGGTGGAGAATGAAGACAGGGATCGGCTCAAGAGGAGGGTCTCCACTGGGTGAGACGCTACAGCAGGAATGGGGTGGGGGAAGATCCTCACCAGGCTCCCGTAGGCCATCACCAGCACGACATTCACCCCGGACAGCCAGTTACTGCTGGACGCCATGGCCTCCCTCCCCGCGCAGAAGTGCTCGGGTTTTCCCGCTGCCCTGCCTCGTTAGCCCAGGCTCCGCCGAAGCAACGGCGCCTGGGTTCCCTGGAGCTCCCCGGCCATTTCCTTACGGGGGAAGACCGAGCCAGACCCGGCCTGAAAACATGGCGGATGGGGGGGCTAGGAAAGGAGGACGACGCCTTCCCGCTTCCCCCCCGACACGTGACTCAGGCAGGCAGTGGCACCTGGGAGCTGCGAGTGCGGAGACGCGGAACTACGCCAGTAAGAGGAAGCGGAGGCCATCCGTGCGTCACGTGGTAGAGGCGGGGCCACCGCGCAGGGGGCGGGTCGGACGCACGGAGCCCGAGTTCGGTGTTTCGTGGCGTGGTGGCACGCGCACGCTGGCGTGCGCGTCCCTTTTCACGTCACGTGCTGGGGGGACGCAGGAAGGCAAGTGGGAGGGGGTAGGCGCGAGAGCGAGCGCGAGAGGGAAAAGGAGGGAGGGGGTGGGGAGGAGGGAATCTTGTATCACGTGACAGGGGCGGCGCGGCCCGGGGTGTCAGTGTGGAGGAGACTGAGGTAAAGTTGGGAGCGCAGCGGCGTTGGTGGCGGCGGCGGCGGCAGCGGCAGCGCGGCGGGGCCGGGTATTGTCCGCGGCCCCTTTAAATCCGCGATCCCCCTTTTACCCTCCCTTCTTTCTCTCCTATCCCCGCCGTATCCCCCCTCCGGTAGGCCCCCCCGCGCCGTGCGCTCCCCCTCTGTACACCCCCTTCTGGTCTCGGGAGCCCTGGCGCCCCCCCCACTTCGAGTCGGGCGCCGGAGGTTTTGTTTATGGTTGGGTTCGCGGCCTAGTGGGCCGCGCCGGAGCCGGGGCCTCGATTTGGGAGCGTGGCCGGGGCGGGGCTTGGGGCAGCCGGACGGGGGGGCCATGCGGCTAGAGCCTGAAGGGGGAGAACGAGAAAGAGCGCGAGCGAACTAGGCCTGGGCCTAGCCTGAGGTAGGGCTGTCTCCCAGGGCCGGTGCCTGTGGAGAAGGAGAGGGCCGCCTCCCTTTCCAGCCCTCTGCGGGCCTCTGATCCGGATCCGGCCTGGTTGGGGGTGGCGGGGGGGAGGGCGATGGGGTGGAGCTGCCCCGACTCCCCCATGTGGCCCTCAGTTTGGAGTGCGGAGGATTAATTTGTTCCGGGTGGGAGGTAGGGAGGCGATTGGCCCCGTGGGCTCCTGATGTGGCGCTGAGGGGGGTGAGCCTCCCATCCTCCGCGCGTGGGCTTGCGTCCCCTCTCCGTTTCCAGCCTCTTTGTCAGCTCCACTTATTACTCTTCCTTCTTTCTTACCGACCCGGCTGTGGGAATATATTTTTGCAGCTGTCTTAAGCTTCCTGTTGTCTATACTGTGGTTTTGGGTACCCCAAACAATTATGTTATTTGGGAAGCTGGACCTGTAGGCCCCCATAGGGTGTATTACGCCTAAGGGACGTCACTGGGTCGCTGGGGTATTTGTTCACTCTTCATAATGGCACAGGAATTCCAGACTTCTTCAGACCCTTCACCTTGTGGACAGCCCTAAATTGCTTTGCAAACTGATGTCACAAACAGGAGACTGCTCCTTTTTCAGGATTCTTGAAATGTAGCCACTTCTGTTGTAGGATGTTGTGGAAAGGGAAACACCACAGTAACGGCGTTTTTGTTGTTATTAACGTTTTTGCCTTTGACTCATCGTGATTAGTAAATGGAGAGATCTCCCCCCCATCCATCTTCCGCCCCCCCCCATATCCTGCTTTAGGAATATCTGATGTGAATTGCTGGGAGGTGATAGTGTTCTGTGACAACCAGCATTACTAGATAATTAAAACATTTTGGCTCTATTATCAGTTGACAAAACTGCTTTGAGATCCTACACCATTGCCTTTAAAGATTAGAAGATCCCCATGATTGTTTCTGTTGTGAATGGGAAGTATTACTGGCATGTAAACTATTGATAAAAGGCCTAAAAATGTACTGTTTTGTTTTTTTATTTTTTAAACCCCTTCTTGTGAAGTGTGTCTTTAACTGAGCATTACTCACTAGATTCAAGGTGGTGGGAAAGGGGACGCAGAGGTCATTTCAAAAAGGCAACTAGGGAAATTAGTTGTGCTGGTAAAGGTAGCAAGCCTTCCCCATCACAGTCCATCTTCAGGATTTCTGAATTGGTTCTCAAATTAGATTGTAAGCTCCCTGAGGGCAGCAAAAAGTCATAATGTTTTGTATTTTCTGAAGTATTGGACACATAGTAGACACTCAATAAATACTTGTTATTTATTTTTTTCAGTAAAATTTCTCTGGCTATTTTTTTAAGTAGCTGGTTTCCAAAATAGAGAGTCAGGGGCACTCCTGTGTTGACTTGTATTTGCTCCTGCACTATTCCCTTGGTTTCCAGTACTTCTCCCCCTGGTTCCCTTATTTTTTATTTTCTAAGAAAGAGTAACAAGATTCCACACCTCCACTGTGATAACTCTGGTTATTTGTCCCTAATTTTTATTTTCCAGGAAAGTAACAAGATTCCTCACCCCCACTACTAGAACTCTGGGTATTTGTCTCCACTTACTACTAAAAATTCTATTAATTCTTTGTCCTTAAGTGATCCATCCCAGATCATTTACTTGTGACCTGTTGCTTGGTGTTATTACTATGTAGGTGGTAAAATTCTGTTAGTCACACATTTCAAAGCACTTGTAAGAGTGAAGTGGAAGTTAGTAGTAAGAGTGATCAGGAGGATTTTTCTCTTTCCTGATTAATTATATGACGTTCAAGATCACTTTCTAATACATTTACACCTGACTGGAAAGGTATGTGCGGTGGTCTATACAGTTAGTCCATTAGCTTATATTTGCAAATAAACTCATTCTCTCAAATTGATATATGTGAAGTTGAAAGTAGTCAGTATTTGAAAGTTACAGTGGTGGGTTGGAAATAACTACTCTGATTTAGAAACTTCATCTTAGAGCCAATTTAAAGTTAAACATAATTGTTTTCCTCTATAGTTTTTTTTTTTTTTTCTTCCCCTCTTCTTGATAAGGACCCAGGGTTCTTGGTTAAACAACACTTTTCTTTTTTTGTAAATTAAGTGTTGAAACTTGACTATAATGTCAGCCTAAGGAAATGGACTACTGTGTTGCATAATAATAAAATAAAATTCTATACTAGCTTGAAATATTTACAGGCTTGTGTGCACATGTATGCAGGGACGGGGTTAATGATTAAAAATTAGCTATGAAGCTGTCTTTAAAATATATTTCTTGGTGATAGGGAATGTAGACCGCATCAAAAACCAAAGACCTATGTAACCTATTGATACAAAACTTGGTGAAGCTTGGTGCAGTGACGCATGTCTGTAATCCCCCAGCAGCTCAGGAGGCTGAGGCAGGAGGATCAGAAGTTCAAAGCCATCCTCAGGAATTTAGCATGGCCCTAAGCAACTCAATGAGACTCTGTCTCTAAATAAAATACATAAAGGGCTGGGGATGTGACTCTGTGGTTGAGTTCAATTCCTGGTACCAAAACAAAACAAAACATAAACTTGGTGAAGAATTTCTCCAGGGAAGTCAGCTCTGACATTCAATAAACAGGTGCAATTTACTTTCTTAATAGTTAATCCTTACACATTTATTTAGAAGCCCTCCTTCAAAATCCAGCAGTGTCTTTTGGACAATTTAGAATTAACCCTGTATTTAATGAAAAATTAAATATAGAGCAGAAAAGCATAACTTGTTTTCTTTGGAAGAAAATAAAACATTTTAAAGTATCTTTTGTTGAGCACTCTATCATATGATGACTTTAAAAAAAAAATGCAGCAGCTGAAATTGCATTATAGAACAAAATGTGAATGAAGGGAACTTGAATTCCGTTGAATCCTTCGTTAGAAATCTTATAATGAAAACTGTCAGGGAAGGCCCTTTGTATTCTGTGTCTCTTAAAAGACAAGTTTTCCTACAGGCATTAATGTTTTGACCTTAAAATGATTTCCTAGAAGCCCTTTTAAATAAAATTTTGTGATATATGTGATTGGTTTGGGACAAATTTGGAATTCCCTGTGTTTTAAGGTGAGTGGTTGAGGGTAATTGTAATTCTGGTTTCTTGAAAATGTGGACGAAACCCACAGAAGCAGCTGTAAAAGCAGTGTGTTGGAATTATTATGCAGGGAACTGAAAATCTGAACTGGAACTGGATCCTAATACATGCCCTGTTGAAGGGTGCAGTTAAAAAAATAAAACCTATAGCATGCTGAAAGATGAAACTTAAGGGAGAAAGAGGCTAGACTTGAACTTATCCTTTCCCCCAAGCAGTGGAGGTCAATGTGTAAGGCAGGTAAGATGGTTGTCTTAGGTAGGTTGAATACAGTATTTATATACAGTATTTTCTGTATGTGTGTTTATTGAATGGCTTATTTTATTTTTTGAGGTGGTGTGGATCGAACGTAGGGCCTTGGACATGTTAGGCAAGCCTTCTCCCATTGAGCCACACTCACTCCCAACCCCTGCTTTTTTTTTTTTTTTGGTGGTATTTGGGGTGGAATCCCCTAAGTGTGTTCTGCCATTGAGCTATATCCCAAGCCCTATACATTATTGTGCAAAGGTGAATTAACAGCCATAGTTCCTTAAGGAAATTATCAAATATGTCTCAAAAATAGGTGACTTTTTGCTTTGTTCCTTTAAAGAAATCAAGTGTTTGGTGGCGAAGGTGCTGATGAAAGAGAAGTTAAAAACATTTTGCCTATATTTTAATGCCTAATTTTTTTTTTTTTTTTAATCCTCAGTATTCTACCTTGTAAATACTGTTATTTGTATATACTGTAAATGATGACGTCGGTGGGCACTAACCGAGCCCGGGGAAACTGGGAACAACCTCAAAACCAAAACCAGACACAGCACAAGCAGCGGCCACAGGTAAAAGAACCCAAAGGCTATGGATTCATGGGTAACTCTACTGGTAGATAGGGGTTTGGGGGTTTTATTCTTGTTAGTCCTTGGATTTCTTTTGTTTTCTTTTTAAAGGGTGAGATAGCTCTCAATGACATGCTGTGATACAACATGCTTTTGTTGTTGTTGTTTAATGCTACATTGTAAGACTTATGGCTCCAGTTTGAGTCCTGTGCTGCTTTGTGTCTCTAACAGGTGTTTTCCTTTTATCATCTGGACCATTTAATAGTACATTTCTTGTTTCCTAGGCTTTCTTCTACCTTGACATCTCTTTAGTCAGCCTTTG